CGGAACAAGTCGCAAGTAAAAGCTAGTAATATAATAAAACGCATATTTATTAATATTCAAGGGTTGAAATAAAAATTGGGCATTTTCATTATGCATATGAAAGTATCTACTATACCCATATTTTCGATAAAATTTTTCATTATGTTTGACTTTGGAATTTGTTTTATTTTTAATATACTGCCTTTATATCATAAAAATGCTATTCTCATGCTTATAATAAAATTGAAAATTTTTTGCAGCGTATATTTATGTAGAAAGGCTTGAAGGCCATTAGTTCGAAACACGCTGACAAAAACATTTGTGTTTTAAAGTAAATTTCTAACGGATTCTCAGTAAAGGAAATCATTACTAATAAACTAAATAGATCCTAGTACATCGATTCCAGTGATGGTGATAGGACCTGCCTTTGTATTGTTATAAGGTGGGCAAAGTGTAAGCATCGAGTGTTAGTGTAAGCACGTTCACCACAACGGCAACACGACTTTGATTTTTTTGTTTATGTAAGATTTAATACAGAGAGTAGAAATCCCGAGATTCTGTTTGTAAATGGACATTTGAATTTTAAAGCAAAAGGTGTTCAGAAAATTTTCAGGCAACGACGTACGAGTATGTTAGTTATAATCTATGCAATCCAGCACCGAGAGTCATACAGCGCTAGAATTTCTTTATACATAGTTTATTTATCATGCTTTATCCAGTTATTTTTCACAAAGAAGCTTAATATAAGTAATGCGGTACTGAATACCATACTTGATGCTGAAATATTATTAGTGAGAGGCGGTTGATTTTTTATTTAACTACTGACTAGCAGTAACAGAAGCGAATGATGACTAGGGCGGGTAGCGTTCTTTAGTGTCAGAGTGTTTTTAGTTTCCAGATGCCTTTCGAAACGCGAAGTGAAGGAGGACAAGGAAGAAGATTCTAATTCATCTTTATTTTTATGTGTAATTAAGTTTTTTTTTTCATTTCTTTTTACAATCGATAGGTTTATTCACATGTTGGTACCCTATTAAGTTTGATTAAAGTCATTATTTCTTTTGAACAACAAAGTTATGCTTGATGCAAAGCAAATCTACTTCAAGACAGATGATTTTACATTCTAAATCGAGATATACAAATTAAATTAAGTACCAAAATTCTAGGGTGCGTTTTATTCAATTGGAGCTTTAAGAAGAATGCTAGCTGTGTGTGAAGCATACGCGAAAAACCATGGTCTGGTATATAATTCTAGCAAAAGTGTAATTATGACATTTGTATCTGGACATAAAAAACCGAAGTATGTGCTTCCTATATCACTTAATGGAAATGTACTTGACGTGGTAACTGATTTTAAATATCTCGGTCATATTATTGCAAATACTTTAAAAGATGACCTGGATATAGAACGAGAAAGAAGAGCATTGGCAGTTAGAAGTAACATGTTGGCCCGCAGGTTTACTAGATGTACAAAACAAGTAAAAATAACCCTGTTTAAAGCTTTTTGTCAGGTGTTCTACACAAGTAGCTTGTGGGTCAACTATAGTCAAAAAACTTACAATGCTCTTCGAGTTCAATATAATAATGCCTTCAGGGCACTGTTGGGGCTACCTAGTCACTGTAGTGCGTCACACATGTTTGCACGGGAGCGTACAGATGATTTTTACGCAATACGACGCAAACGAATTGTTTCGCTGTTGGGTAGGGTGCGTGTTAGCTCAAACAGTGTCCTGAAGACAATTGCTGATAAAATGGACTGTCCTATCCTAAAATATTGGGTGGGACAGGTTATCAATGTAAGAGCGTTATGAACGCTCATTTACTAACATAGGTTAAGTCAATTTGTAATTAACAAAATGGGCCTTATGTAGTCTAATTAAATAAATATTATTATTATTATTTATTAATTAAAAAAAAGTAGGTACTGAGATTATTACTAATCAATATTTTTTTAAAGGTATTTATAGCTTAGTTGAGGTAATTTTATTACGATTAGTCTTTGTTTTATTTGCTAAGTAAAATCTATCTATTAATTAAATTAGTAATGAATTTAAAAAAATCAAAAGATTTGCCCGGATTTCAACGTTGAAGACGATTTACGATTTGCAGATTGAATTCCAGTATTCATCAGGGTGAGTTAAATATAAATATATTATTTATTATGGACTGAGCTAGATAGGACGTCAATACATACTTATTCTTGTACAATTCATGTAAATTTTCATATTTGAATTTTCTATAAAAAGTATCACTTTTCGTAGAAATGATTTTCATAGAGTGGTCTCATTTATTTCTTTAGGTATCTGACAAAATTATATTACTATTATCATACATTTTTATTTTTTACAATATTTTCTTTTTCCGTTGTCCCTAATAGGGATTGGACCTTTTGCCCTTTTAGTCCCTTGGGAGAGACACGCCGAATATTATTTCTCCCTACACTAAGGGTAAACTCGGACCTTTTGAATGTATTATTAAACTTTTGTTGTTACCAGGATTAGAATAATATGGGCTCCGGATCAAATCTTCGTCTCCTTCGCTGTTTGTATTGTGTCGTAAAAGATTTATATGTCCTTTCGATTCAATTGATGAGGAGGGAACAATTTTAAAAACATCGAATGTTGAAAGATTGGTATAAATATTTTTTAGTTTTTATACAGAACTTAATTTTTATACTTAACTTTTATTTGGGATAATTTAAATGGGAAAAGAAAGACTATTAAATAATCATTAAATAGTACAAAGTTGACAACAACAAAATCAAGCGTGTGCTTTAGGCATAAAATGGCTTTTATGTATAAAAAAAATAACAACTGCAACTGTAAATAATTTGATTGGTTGTTTTCACAGTGGCAACAACACAATTCTATATCTGGACACTGAAGACGACCGAAGTTTTACAATAAAACGTGGTTATGACACAATTACAAAGCTGCAAATGAGTCTTTTCAATTCTTAGAGGTGCTTTGGGAGAATATAATATATAACACCTATTTTTTTCTTTCTAAACTATAGTTATGCAGTAGTTAAGATATTTCATTACATGCGAAAGTTTGTAAAGATGTAAGGATGAAATGTTTTTTACTCTTTCACGCAAGAACTATTGAACAGATTTGAATAAAGTTTAATACATGGACAGATTACGAGTATATCCTAACTTAATAAAATTTGTTTAGTTTATATAAAAGGGTACATTTAGGTTTCTTTAGGGCAGGAAACGCGCACGTGACACTCCTAGCGTTACAATCGTTCATAGGCTACAGTGACCGTTTACCATCAAATAGGCTGTATGCTTGTTTGTTACCTTTGTAGTATCAAAAATATACAGTAATATATTTTTAATTAAATGAAATACATATTTTCATTTTACTATATTACAGCTTTAGCTTTTTACAATATTTAGGCAACAATGGATACAAAAGATCGACTACAAAACAGTTTCTACTTGAATAAATACTTTCTTATCCATATAATTTATTGTAGCAAATATTTCTATATCTACGAGCCAAACCAATTATTTTGATTTGACTAACTGTAAATATATAATGGAGGACAAAAGGCCGGGCCATTCACGATGCTACAAGCTGTGTTTAGAAGACTTGTACTATGCAAACTCGGCGGACGTCCGTTGTCCTACAAAATGTGCTTATAAACCGTTGTAAGACAAAGGACTGTGCAAACATTGTCTATTTGTATTGTTTCATTGTTATAGATGATCAATGACTACATGCAATGGTTAAAGATTAGCTACAGTAATTGTTTCTCGTATATGTTATCATCTATATGATATTAGCCGTCTACTGTCCACTGCTCAACATACACCTCCCTCAAAAGAGGGGTTTTGTCAGTAGTTGCTTTGCTTGGCAGGCGGATTGGTAACCGCAGTTAGGCTTTGGTGATATTTTAAGAGGCTTCCCTCTTCTCTGATATTTTAAGAGGGAAGCCGCTGCCAATCATTCCACTATAAGTTCTCTTAGTCGCTTTACACGACATTTCGTACGACACTCACGGGATAGGAAGGGGTGGCCTATTTTATGCTGGGACCAAACATATAAGCATATGTTATATGTAAAAATCTAGCAATCCGGCCCGGTTTCGCATGGGTAGATATCATTTTTGAAAATAATGTATAACCTATGTTACTCGCTGATAATATAGCTTTCTCTAAAAATTTTTAAAACTGTTGAGTAGTTATTGTGTTTATTTATTACAAACAAACAATCAAATGTTTCCAAATAATATTAGTATAGATTTGAAAGAAACATATATTGAAACAATGGCTTAAACTTTGTATAATGTAAGTAGGTAAATTGGTACACGGATCAATCACGGATTATTAAAGAAACTAATTTCTATTTATTATTCATAAAAATAGCTTTCGTGTGGTCCTAGAATAGATCCCTCCCTTTCCATTCCTGTGGGTGTCCTAAACGGCGACTAAGGGAGAGCGAGGGATGGGCAGCAGCGTTTCTCTTAAAACATCTCCAAAGCCTAATTGCGGTTACTAATCCGCCTGCGAAGCCTGGTAACTACTAGCAAAACCCCCCAAGGGGGAGGTTTATGTTCAGCAGTGGATAGTTTAAGGCTAATATGGTTGTGATGATGATTCATAAAAAATATATTCTCTTTAACCCAATTTCTTAGAAATTTATTTAATTTGCAAAACTAGTAAAACTGATTTTTAAAAAATAATATATTCTCTTTAGCCTAACTTTTTAGAAATTTATTTAATTTGCAAAACTAGAAAAAAATATTTTAAAAAGTATTGCGTAATGTTTTCAATTTCCAGGAAAATATGGAAAATTATTACATTATGATTATATTTACATTGTTCACGAAAATTTTAATATAGACGAAACTATTTGTAGGTATCGTCATAAAACGACAGTTTATTCTGGAATGGTGTCAGCAATATATTACTAAATGAGAGGAACTGATGCGAGGTCAACCTTTGTCATCATAAAGCACTTAATGATCACAATACACATTAGGTTGGTCGTAAACTCTGGATGAGGTATACTTACAAGTTATAATGAACATCGGCCATGTTGGGTCTATGTTTGAGCGCTTTCTCGAAGGCAACTTCCGCTTCCGCTGTCCGCCCTTGAGCGGTCAGTACACTGCCCAGGTTTCCATATGCTGTGAAATAAAAAAGTAAATTAAATCTTGTTTTCTAGCTCAAAGATATATCTGATATCTTTAAATCAGTATGGAATTAAATACATGGTGGGTATACGGGGAGAACAAAAAGATAGGTGGCTATTCAAGTAGCAACCTCATACAGACAAACACAGTGTCGGAAGATACCCCACAAGAGGATGTAGGTGGCTCATATGTGACTTTTTCTTATAGGATCCTACGGGGCAAAACTAAGGGTTGAAATTATGATACTTAGTTTTAGTTGTAAATTGATTGTACTTATTATTTTAAGAAGTTTTTATTATTATAATATTAGGATTATTTTATTGAATTTTTATATTTTTATATATTGCATAAAACAAATTGGCCAAGAGCGTATAGGACATAAAAAAAAAATTGGAGTTTGTATGTTTGTTAAGTCTTGCGTTATGAGGAACATTTGGATCGCGGAAAATAAAATTTCAGTAAATTACATTGAAAAAGAAAAAATAAAAAAGCAAGGAAAATGCCTATTTATATGGACCATGGATAACATAGTAAAATCTGAGATATGGACATGTGAGTATCATGTTACGTATTCTATGTGTTTTAATAAGAAGAGTAGGGGGAAATAATTGTTAGTGACGGGTACTAGTGGCCCCTTTGCTAGTACATCCTTTCAGGTCAATTTCTAGATGGTTCACTTTGGAAATCAACGTTGGTAATTCTTGAAGAATTCGACACGGTGGGCCAATTGACCCGCTTTCATTCTCATTTATCACTCCTCACTGATGTCCTGCCAGCATTTACCGATAGCGTAGACGAGGAAAATAAATGAAGTAAATTTCATCATCGCTCAATAAAAAAAATATATACACCGATTTTTGTGGATTTGCTGAAAGCATCCAAGTACTTATTAAGTTTCTGAAGGCACGAACAGTATGCTCTACTTCAGAAATAATTATAAAAAGTATCTCTTAGATATACAGAAACAACTATGTCAGCTTACTTGTACCGCACTTCACCGATATATTATAGATTTATATTTTCTTTTTACCATATCACTTATGTATTTATCTATATAATCACGTGTCTCATATATCTTTTATATTATATACTAACATAACACTAATATATGTGTTATTGTTGCTTGTTATTTAATTTCATTGTTGCGCACAGCACTCTTTGTATAGACTTTTACTGAAGACCAGCGTCCGTGAACCGTAAAAACTCCCGACACATGCTGAGAGCTTTTTTAGTAACTAGAATTTGTGTTTTATTGTCAGCTATTGTAATGTCTACGTAGGTCACTAAAACAAAATATTTTTTTTCTTTCTTTAAATTCTGACAGACATAATGATAGATGAGTAATGCCATATTTTATGAATATTATAAAAAAAATAAGGTAATTTTGTTACTTTTTGGCATCCGACAGTTTAATATTAGGTATACCAGACAAAGTTCAAACAAAGCTATGACCAATATAACGCACTACGTCGTCTAATTCTATTTTTTGAACTCGCTAGCTATAACGACTCTATCAATAAAATCGTTTATATTATGTCTAAGGGGCCAGGTACTATATGATCCTTAATAAGATACCCACTATTTTTTATCCCGGTCAATGAATATATCTCAGTAACGCTGACGAAGTCGCGGATTAAAGCTAGTGTAATAATATAGCTTCGACATTTTGTCAAGCAAAGTTGATTACTGTTTACATGTTAACGTAATCCTCGAGCTTTGATAAGATAATGTTGACTAGCATACGTCAAATAAATTGAATATTTATGTGGTGGGTGGGGTAAGCTGAAAATCAGAGCCTTAGATGTTCTGAGTTTTCGGTCACATCGATCTTTTATCGTATTATAATACATTATTAGGTAGATATATTAACAGATTTTGTAAGTACATGCTCGTATTTAGCTAATTACAATATGCGGCGTATATCACTTGGAATTTACTAGTATACGTACACTACTAAGTATAGTACTTTATAGCTTAATTGATATATAATGTACATTGAATTTGACTTCTATTGTTAATATTTATTGTTATAAAGAAATATCCTAGACATACAATCAGAAGCTAACAAAAAAATAAAATACTCGCAACAAAATTATTCACTAAGGAATACTACAATATTTATCCAATAAGTAAAATATGCCGAGATAATATAAATTCAATAAAAAATAACATTTACTCTCATAATTTAATATTTTCGATATGTATTTGACTATTTTTTCGTGTTGTTTTACGATTGTTTTTTAATTTTTAATAGTTTTGTATGGAGAAAGTAAGAGTTTGTATATTGATATCGGTATCTCAAGGACAAGATTAAAATTTCTAATTTAAGGTACTGTCTATAAAAAAGCGACCTTATTAATTTATGATTACCCAGCTTTATAAATGATGAGATTTTTCTAATTATTCATATAATAATATGTTACCTACTTATAAAACCTTGTTACTGCTATAAGTTTTTATCATGAGGTGCTATGACTGTATTCCCAGGTTAGTTTGAATCTTCTACAGTATTACTAGTTTCAAAAGACTGTTTTATAAATTTCACATCGTAATGCTGCAGGTATGTACTCATATAAGAATTTTCACATTATTTTAGATATTTATAGATCCATAAATACTGAGTTTAGAATTTTAAAATATTTCACAGAGCTTCCAGTTAATTATGTGTATTTCACATATTATATTTCAATAACAAAACTAAACTCGTCCACATAATTTTTGTGTATTAAGCAATAGCAGATATTCATTGAAGTATTAAGGTGCTGCTATAAATATGTAAATAATGTACGTGTGAACAAAACCACCTGGAATACAGTTCTATAATACAGAACGGCCTTTGTTTTAGTTTTATATCCTTTAAGTAGCCAAGAAATTGGGGCAGATTTAGATATAAAGTATAATTTAAAATATTAATATATAAAATATTTTAGATAAAAAGCCACAGATACATATTAGAAATGTTAAAGAAAGTTTGTTTTTTTGTTACTCCTTGGCGCCTGTTCGACCAATCGTCATGAAATTGCATGTAACAAATTCTTCTTATTTAGTTTCTTCAATACCGGTCAATCAAAATGTCCCGATCGCGCGGATTAAGACGAGGGTAAAAATACTTGATAGTAGATGGATAAATATATGTTTTTTACTCTTTCATACAAAACCAATTGAACGGATTTGAATGAAATTTGGTACATGAGGTTATATCCTAATTTTTGGGCTATATACATTATAAACTGATTCACGCGGGTAAAGCCAAGGGATAGAGCAAAATATAATTACAATTAGTTACACTAATCAATTTGTAATAAGTAGATATTTTAAAATAATTCCGATATTAGTATTTTACTTTCAGTATTTTTTTAGTCGAGGAAAAACTTTTTTATACAAAATTACTTTTTAATATTATTTGTATTCTGCTATCAAAATATTTACCAACGAATTTTCTAAAGTGAAATATTTTTTCGCTCCTGCGAGATCTATTTTTACCTAATACTTTGAATACGACTTTCTTTAAATCAAGTATTCATATGTAGCCTGAATTTCAAGTCAGTCTTAAATATCTTTAAAAGTGAAAAGCTTCTGACGTGACCTTAGAGCATTGAACTTTGCGAGGGCGTATCATTGTACAGACCAGTCACAAGCAAATAAAAAATCGATTAATTTTTATTAATTTCAGCTTAGATTAGATTATCAAATACAACAAAGAATCCTGACTAGATCAATCTGTTAGTGTATGGCGCTACTAATGCGCAGTTTCATGTAGCGTGGAAAAACACTTAGTAAGCCGGCATAGTGTGATCAATCGTTAAGAGTAAATATTTCTCTTTTCGATTGATCATATTCATCGACCATATTGTCTCTGTGTTCGCATTGAATAGTATGGTCACAAGTCGTGCTATAATAGAAAAAGTAAAATCTTTTATAATGTTACAACGAATGAGATTATTTTTGTTTCTATTGAGATTATATTTCATATCTATATGAAAGTGAAATAAGCTCTACATTAAAGCTCTAAATTAACTTACCGTCGAAAAATATAATAAATACAAATTTAATGAAAAAATATAATAATATTTTAAACAATTTGTAAAAGTAATTAAAGATTGACAGTTCTAATATTGTTAATTTTTATTTAGTCATAACCAAAAATAATAAATATGGTATTTTATGTATTTGCTACGTGATGTAATATATATGAGTACAGCAGTAGATAGGGCATACTGTTGATGATAAGAAGTTTATTTTTTAATAAATTACTTATAAGATATAAGTAAATCTGTCAAGTCGATTTTTTTTCAATCATACATTAAAATATTATCTTCATATTTCTATTTCAAATGTTTTTAAAATCAAAATTAGATAATTTTGTCTTGAAATGACTTTAAAGACACAGTAGACCTCTCATATATTGTCTTAGGTTAATAAAACATTAACAAATTATAAACGTTTATTTTTCGAACACATTTTAATAATTGTTGATTTTTGAAAAATAGTTTATTATTTGCGGCTATATTTTTTTTCTATCGACTAGGTCATTTTAATTTTCCATAAAAAAACAGTGTTATTTTTCATTGATATACAAATCAGTGAAAACCTTTAAGTTACCTATCTAAAAGTTTTTAGTACCTGTATACAATATAAAATTTGCTCATTACCTTAACATGTTATAATAAATAAATAAATAAATAAAGAATTTGAATAGAAGGTCAAATATATTTAAATACTTAATAATTATTCCTCGTATCGATATATAATTTTTAAAAACGTTTTAATATAGTATATTTTATCAATAGCTGTTAGATATGGTATGGTATGTGGAATAATAAAGTAATAAGTTAAAGAAGTAGTAGGTATATATTAACAATTAAAGGTATAAATAATATATATCACAGTTATGCACTTTGTTCGCATTTTAAAAAGATATTAAAATACATTCTTACTATGGCTTATTTATGAAATTAATTTCGTGATGCAGATAGTTATGTTCATTACTCAGA